ACTAGCTAACGCTACATTAGCTACCGCTCCACTAGCTAACGCTACATTAGCTGCTGCTGCTGCACTAGCTAACGCTACATTAGCTGCTGCTCCACTAGCTAACGCTACATTAGCTGCTGCTCCACTAGCTAACGCTACATTAGCTACCGCTCCACCAGCTAACGCTGCATTAGCAAAACAAACGCTAATTTTTAGCAAACCTTTTTAAGGCCTTAAATTCAGATTAACAAATGTAAGACTTGTTAAGACCCCGCGGGAACCCTGATTGTAACTTTTTGTAATTGTCTGAACTTCTCCCACCTCTGACAATAAAGGTGGTTACCAAAAAAAAACCCTGCTCTGAAGGTTATTTTCATTTTACACATCCTGCACTCAGCTTTACTTTCTCCAATATCATTGAAAAGCAGCAGATGCTGCTTCTTTTTTCGGTTTTCGCTCATTTCTTGACTTTTTCCGACGCGCTTGCATTTAAATCCGGCTCTGTGCAGCTGGCCTGTACCACTACACATGTTGTTCCCCCCACCCTTCTTTCACATAATGGTATGATCCTAGTGTGTCCTCGCATATGATTGGCCGCATGGTGGCCCAGCTAAATAAAGACCCGCCCCTGCCTGCAAGGATTTTCAGCAAGAGTAGGAGTGGCTGAAGATTCTGCTCTCCCCGACGGGCATAGCCGTAGGGGTGCTGGGGGTGCTGCAGCACCCCCTGTTGGCGAGTGGTGTACATTTGAAAAACTGAGTGACCACCTAAATAAAAATGATTAAACTACATCAAATAGTTATGATTTCACTTAAAAATTAAATTAGCTGTATACAGTAGCATATAATAGTCATAGTATATATTTGTATCAGTCAGGTGGCTTGAATTTATTTTCCAAATAAATAAAATCCGAGTCATCTAGGTCGTAGGTCGTGGGAGAGTGACGTAATTGACGCGACACACACACTGCAGAGTGACAACTTTCTAGAATGGCGCAAAAAAGGATTTTGGATTTTTTTCTCCAACAAACAACCCAATAAAAAGAGTGGACCACCAGCTACTCCTCAGCCCACCACCTCTACAACTAGAGTAATATGACACAGAAGAGACTGACACATCTGACTTTGATGCATGTCCACAGTAACATTTTAGACGATGTGGATGTATCTGCTCTAATGAGGGTCTTCATTAGTGCCACCCCAGGCTACATTTGGAGTTTTGTGAAGCCCCAACACAAGGGAAGACGATATTTCCTTTAATGCTGTGCAGTGTTTTGCCTTGTCAATCAGTTAAAATTGAATTCATAGTTTTATTAATATTGTAAATAATATTTCCTGACTATTTGTAATGTTATGTAGGTTCGTAAGACCCATAGTTAGCATGTGGGCATGTGCAGCTGTTGCTAAGTGATGTAGGTCTATAATGGTGTATTAAGCCTAACAGAGGCGAGACACCAGGTGAATAGGGTAATTTATTTTAACTTAAAGATATCAGCTGGAAATGTCTCCAGTTAATTACCTACAATGAGGCAATTGTTTCTTGTATTACAAGTTTTCTGAATATGCAAATGAGCCATTATCTCATTACATTTGCGCATATTTTAACACATTTCAGGAACCGAAATCTGAACTTTGGATAAATCCAGGTTCAAAATTCTCGTTTCATTTTGTAGTCATATTAGAATCTAAGGCTTTCACAGAAGGGATTTTGGATATCTCTTTTTATCATTCCATAAATCAGAAAATACTGTCAACAGCCCTAAAATATCAATTTTTGCCATGTTTCTACTAGGTATAAAAACTTATATAATTCAGGCTATGAATGATATATGAACAAACCCTTCAGTAAAAGCCTTCATAATATTGATAGGAATATAACTGGAAGGTTTGGTGTATGTACGTGCAACTGAAGTGGAAATGTCGGACTCAGAGTAGGAGAAAAACTCATTTTGAGAAAAGGACCTTTAAAGATTGCAGTGAGGCGCTAGCTAAACCCTCCTGTTCTTTGGATGACAGCTTGCGCATCGACGCACTCCTTGAAGGTATTTCATGTTCGGGGTCATTTCTTTTTTGTATAACCTTGCTTCGTGCAAGTGACAATTGTTGTCGTCTTCTCTGTGAACGTTTTTTTCGCCGTTCTTTTGCCATTTTGAGATTTCAATTTCTAGCGGAAAGCTAACCAGGAAGTGTTTTAGCACACCACATGACGCATCTGAACGAATCACGTTGTCAGAAGTTGACACCAGCCAATGAGATTTCGTTTCTTGGTTTAAGACCCTTTTGTACTTTCACGATTGGTTGCTGATACAAAGGAAATGACCATATTTGGATCCGATGCGATTGTGCAGGCTCTGCACTTTCCCTCCTCACCTCATACCTGAAAGACCGTACCTACAGGGTGACTTGGAGAGGGTCTGAGTCCGACCCTTGTCAATTAACTACAGGGGTACCTCAGGGCTCTGTTCTTGGTCCCCTCCTCTTCTCCCTGTACACAAACTCGCTCGGATCAGTCATTAGCCCGCATGGTTTTTCTTACCACTGCTACGCTGACGACACCCAATTAATTCTGTCCTTTCCCCGCTCAGAGACCCAGGTCGTCGCACGCATCTCTGCTTGTCTAGCTGACATCTCTCAGTGGATGTCTGCTCACCACCTCAAACTCAACCTTGACAAGACTGAGCTGCTCTTCCTCCCGGGAAAAGATTGTCCCACTCTTGACCTAACAATCAACATCGGCACCTCAGTTGTTTCCCCGACTCAGACTGCAAGGAATCTGGGTGTGACCCTAGATAACAACCTGTCCTTCACTGCAAACATCGCTGCTACAACCCGTTGCTGCAGATACACGCTTTACAACATCAGGAAGATACGTCCCCAGCTGACACAGAAAGCGACTCAGGTTCTGGTCCAGGCTCTCGTCATCTCACGCCTAGACTACTGCAACTCCCTCCTGGCTGGTCTACCTGCATGTGCCATCCGACCTCTGCAGCTCACCCAGAATGCAGTGGCTCGTCTGGTCTTCAACCTTCCTAAATTCTCCCACACCACTCCGCTCCTCCGCTGCCTTCACTGGCTTCCGGTAACTGCTAGAATCCACTTCAAGACACTGGTACTTGCTTACCATGCTGCGAATGGATCTGGCCCTTCCTACATCCAGGACATGGTTAAACCGTACACCCCAGCGCGTGCACTCCGCTCTGCATCAGCCAAACGACTCGCTGCACCCTTGCTGTGAGGGGGACCCAAGTTCCCATCGGCGAAAACACGTGGGTTTGCTGTCCTGGCTCCAAGATGGTGGAATGAGCTCCCCATTGACATCAGGACAGCAGATAGCTTGCACATCTTCCGGCGCAAACTGAAAACTCATCTCTTTCGACTCCACTTCGAGCGATAGAACTATTAACGAAGCACTTTTATACTAATAAAGGACTGGCTTATCTAAAGCCAGTTGAGTAGCACTTGAAATGTTTGGCTCTATGAAACCTGATGTACTTTATGATTCTGTTTTCTTCAAGTTTGTATTTTGTTGGTCGAACGCACTTATTGTAAGTCGCTTTGGATAAAAGCGTCAGCTAAATGCAATGTAATGTAATGTAACGGAGCTTTCCAACGATATCTCTGTTGACATGGTGCAAACAGCGGTCGCGATACTTTATGTTACGTTAGAATGCTAACTTTTGGTGAATTTAGGAGAAATATACAGACGCAAATAGACAAACTATAGTCAAATAAACACTTAAATGTGTATTTTGTACGTTTTCCTTCCAAAAGCCTGAAAGAAAACATGTTATGGAATCAAAATAGCACAACATCTCAAAATGTACCAGTGTATGAAAAACGATGTTTTTGCCTGCCGTGTCTCGCCTTTAACAAACAATTTATGTGGCTCGTATCGCTGACAGCCGCCTTTTTTTTTTTTTTTTTAAGCGGCCCCCTCCCCACTTTTGGCAGCACCCCCTGAGCAAAATGACAAATGACAAAAGTCTGCTCTTCTAACGGCAGCTCGCGATCGGCGTGTTGGAGACCTCTGAATTAAATGATCAAGTCACCTCAAGTCAGAAGGCTCAAGTCCAAGTCAAGTCCTGAGTCATTGGTGTTCAAGTCCAAGTCGAGTCGCAAGTGTTTTGTGATGTTGTCAAGTCGAGTCTCAAGTCATCAAATTTGTGACTCGAGTCTGACTCGAGTCCAAGTCATGTGACTCGAGTCCACAGTAGTAATGGCCATCTTGGTGACGGGTGTTGTTCTGCGAGACCAGAGATGTAGTTCATTGAGCGTTTCACACAAAAACAAAGTGTTACTTCACAGTTTTACGACACTTTGTTTTTTTTTACTTGCAAAATTATCTTTTAAATTGACAAACATCATATGTGTAATTCGTGGCACAATTCAAACGGGATCGAAATATAATCTTTCTCTCTCCATTGACTTCATAATTTTTCCGAAATAAGGTCCCATGGAGCTCCCCCGGAAGGGGAGGGACTTCGCCTCTCTATATCAACTACTTCCCTTTCATCCACTGCTGTGAGGAACATTGAGAAAGGATTACATTTTATTAAGTTTTCCAGCTTTTTTTCTGATGTGCCTCCATCAGGAGTCTTCATTAAACATGGAGTTAGACAGTCTCTGTAACTGTCTGATGAGCAGGGACTCCAGGTTTAGCTGTGACTCACCAATCAGTCTGCTAGACCACTTTATGATCTGACTGAGACAGTTTCTGCTCTTTAAAGTCAGGTTACCAAACCAAGACATTAAAGAAAAAGACAGAACTGACTGTGCTGACTGTCTTCAAGTTTAGGATTGACTTCCTGAATGTCTTTCGTGAAGTCTAAGGTATTAAAACAAGTTTAGAAACGATTAGGGCATTTGCTAACTCGACATCTGAATTGAAGCCATCCAAAGTCACATGGCAGCTGTTCTTTGGATCCTGAAGGCCTGTTGTGGTTTTCAAAAGTACAAAAATACAAAACAACAATATATAGTTCTGAGATAAAGATTTTCATTCTCTGTATCTTTGCTCTGCAGGGAGAAAAGATGGAGACACCTAGAGAAGTCCTATTCAAAACTTTAAAAGATTTTGGGGAAAGTGAGTTTAAAGACTTCAAGTGGTACCTGCAGGGGAAGGTCCTAGGATTCCCAGGAATCCCAAAGAGTGAACTAGAGGAAGCAGACCGAGGGGACACAGTGGATCTGATGCTTCGGGACTACGACATAAACACCATCAAAGTGACCAGAGAAGTTTTGAAGAAGATCCCGAGGAATGATCTAGAAGAGGAATTATCAAAATTCCCATCAGACCCTGAAGGTATGTCATTGTCAAAAATATAACTATATATAAATATATTTTATTTTATTTTTCACAGCCATGCATGATGTTTTTAGACTCCTGATATACCCCTCAGAGAACCGTCACCTCCACATGGTGTTGGGGTTGAGGTACCCCTGAAAGCAGAGAGGTCAGGGTCACTAGATTCTGGCAAGGTCACCGTGTTGGTTCCAGGTGAGGGGTTGTAGAACCTTTATAGATCAGCATTTTAGGAATCCAATTACCTTTCCTGGATTAGGAAGTTTGGGTTTCGGTAAAATTGTCCAAAACATATTTGGGTTAATGGTAGAAGGATTCATCAACCTCTCTGAAGAACCAGCACCTTACCGTGGTAGAGAGGTTTGTGTGCCCTGATGAACCTGGGGGCTGTGTTGTCTGGAACCTTGTGTTCCTGGTAGGGTCTCCCATGGCAAATTGGTCTCAGGCAAGGGGCCAGACTAAGATTGGTTCAAAAGACCTCATGAAAGAACAACAAAGAAGTGAGGATACCCGGCCCGGAGGAAGCCCGGGGTCCCCTTCTGGAGCCAGGCCCAGAAGGAGGACTCGTCAGCGAGCGTCTGGTGGCCGGGCTTGCCACGGAGCCTGGCCGGGCACAGTCCGAAAAGGCAACGTGGGCAACACCTCCGCTTCTCCGTCCCGCGGGCCCACCACCTACGGGAAACAGCGATGGGGTCAGGTGCGCTGCCAGAAGGGTGGCAGTGAAATCAGAGGGTCTCGACGGACCAGACCCGGGCGACAGAAGCTGGCTTTGGGGACGTGGAACGTCACCTCTCTGGGGGGGAAGGAGCCGGAGCTTGTGCGGGAGGTGTAGCGTTACCAGCTGGATCTGCTTGGGCTCACCTCTACGCACAGCGTCGGCTCTGGAACCTTACTTCTGGATAGGGGTTGGACTCTATTCTTCTCCGGAGTTGCTCAAGGTGTGAGGCGCCGGGCGGGTGTCGGGATGCTCACAAATCCCTGGTTGGGTGCTTCATTGTTGGAGTTTACCCCAGTGGACGAGAGGGTTGCCTCCCTACGCCTGCGGGTTATGGGGGGGAAAACTCTGACTGTTGTATGTGCTTATGCACCAAACAGCAGTTCAGAGTATACGGCCTTCTTGGAGACCCTGGAAAGAGTCCTGTATGGGGCTCCTGAAGGGTACTCTTTAATCTTGCTGGGAGACATCAACGCACATGTGGGCAATGATGGAGACACTTGGAGGGGCGTGATTTGGAGGAACGGCCCCCCTGATCTGAACCGGAGTGGTGGTTTGTTACTGGACTTCTGTGCTAGTCATGGATTGGCCATAACAAACACCATGTTCGAACATAAGGATGCTCATAAGTGTACGTGGTACCAGAGCACCCTAGGCAGAAGGTCCATGATCGATTTCGTTATCATATCATCGGACCCGAGGCCGTATGTTTTGGACACTCGGGTAAAGAGAGGGGCGGAGTTGTCAACTGATCACCATCTGGTGATGAGTTGGGTCGAGTGGCGGGGGAAGCCTCTGGATAGACCTGGTAAGCCCAAACGTGTAGTTCGGGTGAACTGGGAACGTCTGGAGGAGGCCCAAGTTCAGGAGGCCTTCAACTCAATCAATCAATCAATCACAGGGAGCTGTGGTCTCAAGGTCTTAGGTGCCTCAAGGGGCGGTAACCCTCGAACCTCCTGGTGGACACCGGTGGTCAGGGAAGCCGTCCGACTGAAGAAGGAGGCCTTCAGGGATTTGTTATCCCGGGAGACTCCCGAGGCAGTTGCAAGGTACCGACAGGCCCGAAGGGCAGCAGCCTCAGCCGTGGCCGAGGCAAAGCAGCGGGTGTGGGAGAAGTTCGGAGAAGACATGGAAAAGGACTTTCGGGCGGCACCAAAGTTGTTCTGGAAAACTGTCCGACACCTCAGGAGGGGGAAGCAGGGAACCATCCAAGCTGTGTACAGTAAGGATGGGACGTTGTTGACCTCAACTGATGGAGTGTTAGGGCGTTGGAAGGAACACTTTGAGGAACTCCTGAACCCGACAACTCCGCCCTCTATGTTAGAGGCAGAGCTGGAGTATGACGGGGGATCAACACCAATCTCCCGGGGGGAGGTCACTGAGGTCGTCAAACAACTCCACAGTGGCAAAGCCCCGGGGGTGGATGAGATCCGCCCAGAAATGCTGAAGGCTCTGGGTGTTGAGGGGCTGTCATGGTTGACACGTCTCATCAACGTTGCGTGGAAGTCGGAAACAGTACCGAAGGAGTGGCAGACCGGGGTGGTGGTTCCCCTTTTCAAAAAAGGGGGATCAGAGGGTGTGTGCCAATTACAGAGGCATCACACTACTCAGCCTCAGGAAAGTTTACTCTAAGGTACTCGAAAGGAGGGTCAGGCCGATTGTCGAACCTCAGATTGAGGAGGAACAATGCGGATTCCGTCCTGGTCGTGGAACAACGGATCAGCTTTTTTCTCTCGCAAGGATCCTGGAGGGGGCCTGGGAGTACGCTTATCCGGTCTACATGTGTTTTGTAGACTTGGAGAAGGCATATGACCGAGTTCCCAGGGAGTTACTGTGGGAGGTGCTGCGGGAGTATCGGGTGAGGGGGTCTCTACTCAGGGCCATCCAATCTCTGTACTCGAGACCCATTTCCGGTGAGGGTTGGCCTCCGCCAGGGCTGCGCTTTGTCACCAATCCTGTTAGTAATATACATGGATCGGATTTCGAGGCGTAGTCGTGGGGGAGGGGGTCTGCAGTTCGGTGGACTAAGGATTGCACCACTGCTTTTTGCAGATGATGTGGTTCTAATGGCTTCATCGGTCTGCGACCTTCAGCACTCACTGAATCGGTTCGCAACCGAGTGTGAAGCGGCTGGGATGAGGATCAGCACCTCCAAATCTGAGGCCATGGTTCTCAGCAGGAAACTGATGGATTGTCCACTCCAAGTAGGGAATGAGTCCTTACCCCAAGTGAAGGAGTTCAAGTATCTCGGGGTCTTGTTCTCGAGTGAGGGAACAATGGAGCGTGAGATGGGCCGGAGAATCGGAGCAGCTGGAGCGGTACTGCAGTCGCTTTACCACACCGTTGTGACGAAAAGGGAGCTGAGCCAGAAGAAAAAGCTCTCTGTCTACCGGGCCATTTTCGTTCCTACCCTCACCTATGGTCATGAAGGATGGATCATGACCGAAAGAACGAGATCGCGGATACAAGCGGCCGAGATGGGTTTTCTCCGCAGGGTGGCTGGTGTCTCCCTTAGGGATAAGGTGAGAAGTTCAGTCATCCGGGAGGGACTCGGAGTTGAGCCGCTCCTCCTTCGCGTCGAAAGGAGGCAGTTGAGGTGGTTCGGGCACCTAGTTAGGATGCCACCTGGGCACCTCCCTAGGGAGGTGTTCCAGGCACGTCCAGCTGGGAAGAGACCAAGGGGTAGACCTAGGACCAGGTGGAGGGATTATATCTCTTCGCTGGCCTGGGAGCGCCTTGGGATCCCCCAGTCAGAGCTGGTTGATGTGGCCAGGGAAAGGAAAGTTTGGGGCTCTCTGCTGGAACTGCTACCCCCGAGACCCGACCACGGATAAGCGGGAGAAGATGGATGGATGGATGGATTCATCAGGACTTAGGAAAAGAGACTGCTGTGCTTTGAGAATCCGACCGCACTGACACTATCCAACGTCATTATGATGCGCCAGCCGATGTTATTAAGAAGGAGACAACGCTTTATTTCATCCCAAAGTGGAAATTCAGCCCAGTTGTTCATTCGGTTGTGGTAACACACAGTACAATACACACACAGGACAGGTGAGAGAGGTCTGAACAAAACAGGCGGCCAGTCTGTCCAGCGCCAGGGAGCAGTTGGGGGTTCTGTGCCTTGCTCGAGGGCAGGAGGTGAACTGGCACCTCTCCATGAACCAGTCTACACTCCGTATAATTTTAGTCCGATCGGGACTTCAACCGGCACCCTTCGTTTCCCAACACAAATTCCTACAGAATGCGGCAGTAAAACACTCTGCTGCATTGGCTGGGAATCGGACCCGGGCGTCCAGACGAGAACTCTACCACTGAACCACCAATGCTATATTAACGAGTTTCTCCTGGTGGGACATTGGAGATATGTAATACAAGTGGGTGATGCTAAAAGCCAGTGTTGGGGATGGGATGGATCAGAGGAGTGACCAGAAAGTCATCAGTTGTGTCTGAAATGGCAGTGAGTCCTTGAGTGCGACGTTTACCCAGGAAACGGCCAATTCTGTTTTTTTCGGAATGAGGTTTGTCCTGCCGAACTGTCAGATATCTCAGGAGGGGGAGTCATGGATGAACTCCGGCTGTTTTCCACAGTGTAGGTTAGCTGCTGACTCAGTCTCAGGATGTTGAATGGGACTGATGCACACTGAGTTCAGGAGGCAGAGCTGAGGGCTTGGAGAACAGCTGTTGTTGCTCAGGTGGTCAGAAGGGGCCACAGGGACACACTGTGGAGGTTTGTCCTGACATAACATTGACCAGTTGTGATCAATGTTGCACGGAGGCAGACAGGGTCATGTTTTAAAGGGGACTGTAGGGTAAGCTCTAAACATCAGAGGAGCATATTGCTCAGCCTCACTGGGATTGCTCACTACAGATTCTGTCCTAGTCATTACTAACGGCCCAGCCCCCTACAGGTGGAAGGAGGTATCATTTGCCGTCGAACATGACTTGGTGAGGAAGGGACGGGTTATTACTGTGACCCCCCAGGGTGTCTTGTAGATGGTAGGCTACTGCAGGAGTATACTGGGACACACTAAGAGCCATCCACTTCCTGTAAACCGGAGAGAGAGCTGTGTCCACACCCTCAGTGGGTGTTGGGATCTGCTGGTATCGTGCCTCGTCTCCCAGCAGCAGGAATAAGAGTCAGTCAGGTTTAGGGCCATGGTTCTCTGTGGGAAAACTGATGGTTCTCTGTGGGGTGGAACTTATACTGGACAATGTACAGATAATTATGCAACAAGATCCAGTGACTTGATATGAGGAAAATAACCTGCTATTTGGTCAGAAATGGGTCCAATTAGAAGGAAATATGTTGATGTGTCTTTCATGTAAATGTATTTCTCATTTATTCAGATATTCTCACGAAGTGCCAAGGTGAACTCAAATCAAACCTGAAGGAAACATTTGAAAATATCACATTTATGGAAAAATCTGAATCCCTACTTAAAATCTACACGGAGATCTACATCACCAGGGGAGACACCACAGAGGTCAACAAGGAACATGAGATCAGACAGATCGAACAAGCATTCACTAAACCAGACAGATCAGAAACACCCATCATACAAGAAGACCTCTTTAAAGGCTCAACTGAAAGAGGTACACCAATCAGAGCAGTGATGACAAAGGGAGTGGCTGGCATTGGGAAAACAGTCTTAACACAGAAGTTCACTCTGGACTGGGCTGAAGGCAAAGCCAACCAGGACATCCAGTTCATATTTCCATTCACCTTCAGAGAGCTGAATGTGGTGAGAGAGAACAAGTACAGCTTGGTGGAACTTGTTCATCACTTCTTCTCTGAAACCAGAGACGCAGGAATCTGCAGGTTTGATCAGTTCCCGGTCGTGTTCATCTTTGACGGTCTGGATGAGTGTCGACTTCCTCTTAAATTCCACAACACTAAGATCCTGACTGATGTCACAGAGTCCACCTCAGTGGATGTGCTGCTGACAAACCTCATCAGGGGGAAGCTGCTTCCCTCTGCTCGCCTCTGGATAACCACACGACCTGCAGCAGCCTATCAGATCACTGAGTTTGTGGACATGGTGACAGAGGTCCGAGGGTTCACTGACCCACAGAAGGAGGAGTACTTCAGGAAGAGATTCAGAGATCAGGAGCAGGCCGGCACCATCATCTCCCACATCAAGACCTCACGAAGCCTCCACATCATGTGCCACATCCCAGTCTTCTGCTGGATCTCTGCTTCAGTTCTGGAGGACATGTTGAAAACTGAGAGAGGAGAGCTGCCCAAGACCCTGACTGAGATGTACATCCACTTCCTGGTGATTCAGTCCAAAGTGAACGTCAAGTATGATGATGGGGCCGAGACAGATCAACACAGGAGTCCAGAGAGCAGGATGAAAATGATGGAGTCTCTGGGAAAACTGGCTTTTGAGCAGCTGCAGAAAGGTAACCTGATCTTCTATAAGTCCAACCTGAGAGAGTGTGACATCGATATCAGAGCAGCCTCAGTGTGCTCAGGAGTGTTCACACAGGTCTTTAGAGAGGTGAGAGGAACGTACAAGGACAAGGTGTTCTGCTTCGTCCATCTGAGTGTTCAGGAGTTTCTGGCTGCTCTTCATGTCCATCTGACCTTCATCAACTCTGGATTCAACCTCATGGCCCCCTGGTGGTCTAAAGTCTTCAGACAAAAACCTAAACATGTTTACCAGAGGGCTGTGGACCAGGCCTTACAGAGTCCAAACGGACACCTGGACTTGTTCCTCCGCTTCCTCCTGGGTCTTTCAATGGAGACCAATCAGACCTTATTACACGACCTGCTGACACAGACAGGAAGTGGCTCACAGACCATCCAGAAAACAGTGAAATACATCAAGAAAAAGATAAGAAAGAATCCGTCTCCGGAGAAAAGCATCAACCTGTTCCACTGTCTGAATGAACTGAATGATCGTTCTCTAGTGGAGGAGATCCAATGGTACCTGAGGTCAGGAAGTCTCTCCACAGAGGATCTGTCTCCTGCTCAGTGGTCAGCTCTGGTCTTCATCTTACTGTCATCAAAAGAAGATCTGGACGTGTTTGACCTGAAGAAATACTCTGCTTCAGAGGAGGCTCTTCTGAGGCTGCTGCCAGTGGTCAAAGCCGCCAGGAAAGCTCTGTAAGTGGAGATACAACTACATTAACTAGGAACAGGTTGGGACATGAGAATAAAACTCTTTGTGTTCATTGCTGATCTTTCCCCAGGCTGAGTGGCTGCAAGCTGTCAGAGAGAAGCTATGAAGCTCTGTCCTCAGTCCTCAGCTCCCAGTCCTCTAGTCTGAGAGATCTGGACCTGAGTAACAACGACCTGCAGGATTCAGGAGTGAAGCTGCTGTCTGCTGGACTGGAGAGTCCACACTGTGAACTGGAGACTCTCAGGTCAGAGTTCAGCCGATATGTTAACTGTCATTTCTATCGACTAATTTCCAGTTTTATCGAATTGGTTAATAATACATTTCGATTTTCATTCCGTTTGTTGTTTATTTTTCTTCTTCAAAACAATAAACCACAAAACCATGATAACAATCTGATTATATTTGAAGACAGAAGGCGTCACTTATCTACATCTCAATGTATCTGACTGATTGACCAACAAAAACATGCACAGACAAACAGATGGTATCATTTGACAAAGGAACTAGAAAAGATTGTATGTTGAAACTTTGCGCTCAATCACATTTATTATTAAAGGAATGTTGTTGTGTATTAATTTCTTTCAAGGTTAACTGGCTGCGACCTGTCAGAGAGAAGCTATGAAGCTCTGTCCTCAGTCCTCAGCTCCCAGCCCTCTAGTCTGAGAGAGCTGGACCTGAGTAACAACGACCTGCAGGATTCAGGAGTGAATCTGCTGTCTGCTGGACTGGAGAGTCCACACTGTGAACTGAAGACTCTCAGGTCAGAGTTCAGCCGACATGTTAACTGTCAGATTGGTTTTGTTCAACCATTTCTATTGACTCATTTCCAGTTTTATCAAATTAGAATAATAATACATTTGGATTCTCCTTTGGCTTGTTGTTTATTTTTATTCTTCAAAACAATAAACCACAAAACCATGATAACAATCTGATTATATTTGAAGACAGAAGGCGTCACTTATCTACATCTCAATGTATCTGACTGATTGACAAACCCAAACATGCACAGACAAACAGATGGTATCATTTGACAAAAGAACTAGAAACGATTGTATGACTGAAACTTTGCGCTCAATCACATTTATTATTAAAGGAATGTTGTGTATTAATTTCTTTCAAGGTTAACTGGCTGCGACCTGTCAGAGAGAAGCTGTGAAGCTCTGTCCTCAGTCCTCAGCTCCCAGTCCTCCAGTCTGAGAGATCTGGACCTGAGTAACAACGACCTGCCGGATTCAGGAGTGAATCTGCTGTCTGCTGGACTGGAGAGTCCACACTGTGAACTGGAGACTCTCAGGTCAGAGTTCAGCCGATATGTTAACTGTCAGATTGGTTTTGTTCAACCATTTCTATTGACTCATTTCCAGTTTGTTGTTTATTTTTCTTCTTCAAAACAATAAACCACAAAACCATGATAACAATTTGATTATATTTTAAGACAGATGGCTTCCCTTATCTACATCTCAATATATCTGACTGATTGACCAACCCAAACATGCACAGAGAAACAGATGGTATCATTTGTGTAAGAGTCGGGAGGAGCTGATAATTTATTCCGGGAAATGACTCTGACCTACTAACTGACCTGACCGAAGTTATTGAGTCTCTGTAAGTTTAGTGCTTGGCTCAGATCCACCAACGGCAGCAAGATCTCACCTCTATTAACTCCTGAAGAACCAGGTTCAATTAACTGCTGTTTCAATTCAGACAACTCTCTTAAATCTGTTGAAGAGATCCTGAAGGATTTTGATATCAGTAAATGAGGTGTGGCCCTATCTAAGTGTGAGTGTGGCAGGGTGCAATCTTACCTTTGAAGCAGGAGAGGAGAGCGCAGATGTCTTTTAAGTTGTCCCAGTCCAAAAGGTGGGATCAGTTTATTTGAAGAAAAATAGGTCCAAACTAATACAGGGTTTTTACCTTCTCTCTTTACAACATTATAATCATACTAAACCTATCATGCTGGGGTTATTTTTTAATCTAAAACCTTAATTCATAGTTCATCCAAAGGGAGTTTCCTCACAGATCGACTGGGTTAATCGTCCACACACTATGGCCCGACACATGTAAGAGGTCAGTTCCTCAAAACATTCAGATTGAATTCTGACAGAACCCGAAGGGATTTCCTCATGGATTGAAGGTTTTACCATTCTTTAATCCAACCATTCACTCAGCATGCAATCCACAGAGATTTAAGCAATAGTTACCAAGTTTGAGAGAACCTTACCGAGGCGAAAACCCAGCTCTCCCCAAAGGGATCACCTCATGGATCGAAGGTTCTAACATCCACAATTCATAACTCATACATCTAAAAGTCTTCCGACCAAATCCAAAGGGAGTTTCCTCACATATCTACGGGGTTAATCATCCACACACTATGGTCCGACACATGTAAGAGGTCAGTTCCTCAAAACATTCAGATTGAATTCTGACAGAACCCGAAGGGATTTCCTCATGGATCGAAGGTTTTAAAAAACGTTCATCTAAACCATTCACTCAGCATTAAATCCACAGAGATTTAAATAGTTACCAAGTTTGAGAGAACCTTACCGAGGCGAAAACCCAGCTCTCAGGGAGAGAGCTTTACCGGGAGAGAGTATACCAGGGGAACCCCCCCCCCACTCTCTCTCTCTTTTGCTCCCTCTCCGCCAGTGTCTTTATGCTCAAAAAACAGGATATAAAAACCCAAAGACCCCTCCTCCATACCCATATTTGTGGAAACTGGGCATGGCCTCTGATGTACAGGACTGGACATGACCAGACATATTCTATTGACTATGGCATAAGACACACCTTCCCATGTTTGTGTAAAAAGGACATGACCCCTACTCGGCAGGACTTGCAAGATATTATTCTCGGCTATGACATAACCACCTTTTTGGGGCCTCAATGTGTTAAGTCAGGAGCCCCCCTCCCTGTGTACTGCTGTGAGGGGAGAGGGAAGAAACTGTCTCTATTCTCTTATCAGTGACACCCATAAATCATAATAGGCCTCACACTGAATTGAACAAACCACTTGTGTTTTGTTTATACTGTAAATATAGAAAATCATAACATATGAAACATTTGCATTGTGGGTTGTACAAGAATATAATTGACTATATTTGATTATAACTAACTTTCGTTTTAATTATTCAACCTAATATGAAGATCTCAACATTTGACAAAATAACTAGAAAAGATTGTATGTTGAAACTTTGCGCTCAATCACATTTATTATTAAAGGAATGTTGTGTATTCATTTCTTTCAAGGTTAACTGGCTGCAAGCTGTCAGAGAGAAGCTGTGAAGCTCTGTCCTCAGTCCTCAGCTCCCAGTCCTCTAGTCTGAGAGAGCTGGACCTGAGTAACAACGACCTGCCGGATTCAGGAGTGAAGCTGCTGTCTGCTGGACTGGAGAGTCCACACTGTGAACTGGAGACTCTCAGGTCAGAGTTCAGCCGATATGTTAACTGTCAGAGTGGTTTTGTTCAACCATTTCTATTGACTCATTTCCAGTTTGTTGTTTATTTTTCTTCTTCAAAACAATAAACCACAAAACCATGATAACAATCTGATTATATTTTAAGACAGAAGGCGTCACTTATCTACATCTCAATATATCTGACTGATTGACCAACCCAAACATGCACAGAGAAACAGATGGTATCATTTGACAAAGGAACTAGAAAAGATTGTATGTTGAAACTTTGCGCTCAATCACATTTATTTTTAACCTGTTTAGCCCGAAGGCCCCCGCCCGCGTGGCTGCAGGTTTTTTTTCTCACAAAACTGTGTCTCAGAGCTTCTTAACATTTGAAAACCTATTAATCTGTCATACCCACTTAACGGGAAGAAACTCAGCTAACTGACGATACAAACAATTTTTACCGAAACAAAACACAAGTCTCACAAGAATCGTCTAAATGAGCCCTGAGCGAAAAAATGCTAACACACTTAGCACAGAACTCACGGTAAAATAACTTTTATTACTTATCGGATCTGCAATAACAAGATATTGATTAGCAAGCTGAGATTCCACAGATTCCAGAAATATAAGTATCATCACTGAGCGATCAAAACTTGTGAAAGGGGAAGCAAACCCAGACATCACACCACATAGCTTTACGGAGCAAACACGGGACATTGTCTTACCTTAGCTGTTATCGATCCAAAGTTGTGTTCAATGGCATTAAAATGAGAAAAACAGGGCTGAAGGTTAATCCAATGTGTCTGTGTCACTTTGAAATGATTACTGACAATCCATCATCATATTTATGTCAAAAACTGAGTTTTCATATATAGCTGCTATGATAGCTACCAGAGTGTATGACAGCTTCCGGTTCAGGGCATTCTGGCTGAGCAGCACTCATTCACCAATGGGTAATGTTTATATGGATTTTAGGAACTTCCCCTCGATTCTATTGGCTTTAATGGTTCAAAAGAGTTGTCAATCATCAAAATCGACCGAGGGGGGCCAGAGATATGGAAAATGCACCCAAATGACCCCAGAAGTGTTTTTCTATTTCTAAATCTCTCTAAAAAGGTCAAATGTCTCTCGTTTTGCATCAATCTTGATACAGGGTACTTATTATATGTTATAGTTTGGATTCTTAAAGCTTTTAGTCTATCCCATCATTCAAGGGTGGTTTTCACTATAAGTCATGTTTTTTTTTTGGACGGACACTATAATCTTTTTTTTTTACTATGTTCAATCTGAATTTTCTCTAAAATAAAAAACATCTATATTGATTCTGACTTTTCTACATCCAACTCACAGGTTTATCATTACTTTGAGAACAAAGATTATTAATTTATCCATTTTAGAAGTGAAGATGTGGTTATTTGTTCTGAGAATGTCATTTTCGAGCCTGAGGCCTGAAAAACAGGCTCAGGGCTAAACAGGTTAAAGGAATGTTGTGTATTAATTTCTTTCAAGGTTAACTTACTGTGACCTGTCAGAGAGAAGCTGTGAAGCTCTGTCCTCAGTCCTCAGCTCCCAGTCCTCTAGTCTGAGAGAGCTGGACCTGAGTAACAACGACCTGCCGGATTCAGGAGTGAAGCTGCTGTCTGCTGGACTGGAGAGTCCACACTGTGAACTGAAGACTCTCAGGTCAGAGTTCAGCCGATATGTTAACTGTCAGATTGGTTTTGTTCAGCCATTTCTATTGACTCATTTCCAGTTTTATCAAATTAGAATAATAATACATTTCGATTCTCCTTTTGCTTGTTGTTTATTTTTGTTCTTCAAAACAATAAACCACAAAACCATGATAACAATCTGATTATATTTGAAGACAGAAGGCGTCACTTATCTACATCTCAATGTATCTGACTGATTGTCAAACACAAACTTGCAAAGACAAACAGATGGTATCATTTTACAAAGGAACTAGAAGAGATTGTATAATTGAAACCTTGCGCTCAATCACATTTAATATTAAAGGAATGTTTTTATGTATTAATTTCTTTCAAGGTTAACTGGCTGTGACCTGTCAGAGAGAAGCTGTGCAGCTCTGTCCTCAGTCCTCAGCTCCCAGTCCTCTAGTCTGAGAGAGCTGGACCTGAGTAACAACGACCTGCAGGATTCAGGAGGGAAGCTGCTGTCTGCTGGACTGGAGAGTCCACACTGTGAACTGGAGACTCTCAGGTTAGGATTCTGCATTTTATTTTCAAGCAGTTCAATTATTTTCATCCAGCTTTTTGTTCATGTTGATGAAGATGGTCCACCTCTGTATGATTTTCCTGCTCATGTGACTTTTTAAAGCACTGAGTTTACTGTATTCCCTGGTTCCAGTCTGTCAGGCTGTCTGGTCACAGAGGAAGGCTGTGTTTCTCTGGCTTCAGCTCTGAGCTCCAACCCCTCCCATCTGAGAGAGCTGGACCTGAGCTACAATCATCCAGGAGACTCAGGAGAGAAACGGCTTTCTGCTGGACTGGACGATCCACTCTGGAAACTGGACACTCTCAGGTATGGACCCACAGACTGCACAAGTACGGTTTAATACTTTTTCATTAGTGTTTATCCGTGCCTCGCGGCGGGGATGGCATCCTTCGGGGCGCCGCCGGTGTCTCTGAGACACGGAGTGCGGTTGGTCCACGTGGATCACTGTGTCTGGCGTTCCTCCGTTCATCCCGAATGAGGCGCTGGAACGGGAAATTAAGCGTTTCGGTAAGTTTGCCAGTAATCTCCGTACTGTTGCTCTGGGGTGTAAGGATGAAAAGTAAAAATGTCCAGTCTCTGCGGAGACAGGTTTTCATGTTTCTGAATTGTCCCACTGAGACACTATGTGTCCTTCCGGGTGAGGCACGAAGAGGGTTTTTATTTGCTTTATGCGAGCTCAGGGAACGTAAAGTGTTTTGAGTGCGGGGAGTCGGGTCACAAACGTGTTGCATGTCCACAGAGACGGCACGCCGCTCCGCCGGGTGCGGCTGAGCCCGGGGCAGCCGACCCCGGGTCCGCTGGGGCAGCAGAGCCCGGGGCCGCTGGGGTAGCCGAGCCCGGGGCCGCTGGGGTAGCCGAGCCCGGGGTAGCCGAGCCAGGGGCCGTCAGGGCAGCCGAGCCCGGGGTTTCCCCGACATCGGCGGTGCCTGCTACAGGACAACACGGAAGGTGCGCGATTTGGACGCGATGAGCGGTGCTAGTGGAGTACGCTAGTGGAGCACGCGCGTGAGCTGCGAGCACGAGAGCCTCGCAGCGGCGAAACTGAGGCTCCATGGTAAACTGTGGTAACATGAAGAGCCGAAACAGCCGGCACTTTAAGAGAGCCAAGCCAAATGATCATTAACGTAAAAAGACAGTATCTATAAGGGACGGCTCAAGTCAAAATTCAAGAACCCCCCCCTCCGCTCTCGGGGTGGACGCCCTCTCAGCCCTGGTCTGGCGGAAACACTGCTCCGCACCAACGCGCGGCTGGTGATGGCAACATTGGGTCTGATGCATCAATTCATGGTGCACAGACCAAGGGAGGGCTTGGGTTACCACCGGGTTGGATGGTCCCACCTCCGCACCAACGCGGGGCTGGTGATGGCAACATTGGGTCCGATGCATCAATTCATGGTGCCCCGACCATGAGAGGGTTTGGGGTGCCACCAGGCACCACCCCAGCAGGAAACGGGTTGTATGGTCAAAGGAGGAAAGAATGATAGAACCGGGGTAAAGCAAAGAAAGTGTCCGACAATAGTGATTTGTGAGGCGGCCAGAGAGTCTGTCATCTCTCGGTCCTATCCTCCAGGTAACGCGGTGGCCAGAACTGTGTGAAACAGACCAAAAAGTAAAAAAATGTCTTTAAATTCATCCATGAAAAAATGCATGAAAATGAAAAAAAAAATCCGAAAATAGAGCCTCATAATGCGGGTATAGTCCCCTGTCAACTCCCCTCACATTCCTCCAGAGTCAAAATTTGCCAGAGTTAACTTTTGTGAGGACCAGGGAAAAGGGGTGAAAATGAGAAAAAGTGTCCCAAAATAGTGCCTCAAATGCGGGTAGAGTCCTCTGTCAACTCCCCTCTCGTTCCTCCAGAGTCACAATTTGTCAGAGTAAGTTTGTTGACAACCAGGCAAAAGGGGTAAAAATGTATCCGAAAATAGTGCCTCATAATGATGGTAGAGTCCACTCAAACTCCCCTTACATTCCTCCACAGGCACATTTTCAAAGTTAAAGTTCTGTTAGAACCAGGCTGGGGGGTCTTCAGGCACAAAATCTATCCGAGCCAGAGTGCACATGGAGCGGATACATTCCTCCAGGATCTCAGACAGTCAGTTTTTTTCTGAGTGCACCCAAAAACCGGGTTTCCGATTTCGTGCAGACGGTAGTCTGAAAAGTATGAATGAATATTTTTGGTGAAACGTTTTTTCCCCTACTCCGTTGTAAGTTGTGACGGAGAAGTGGAAAAGTGTCCGGAGCTTCGGCGCCGAAGGGTTGAGATTTCTAGAGCCCCTTCCCCGTGGGCAGTTAGCCATTTTTTCGACAATTTTTTAAAACTTCATTTTTGATTATTTTAAGAAGATATTAACCGTTTTCTTCACTTTTTTCTTCTTTCCACGGTTGGGGGCGCATGGCAGGCCGCCTATGAGCACCCAAACTTGGCCTGGAACCTCCAGGATTTGTGGGCTAAGCTCCATAAACTGACAAAATCACCCAGAAATGTCACTTTTCTAGCCCAAAAATATATAATACAAATACATTTAACAGTAAGGTATCCAATTACTTATTTATTTAGTATTCCATAACTTAATAACAGAGATGGTCAAACTAAAGTGGTAGAGACATGGCAGAAATCCTACAATGAAGCGGGACATTGAACTGTTCACCCGTGAGAGGGCGATCAAGAAAAGAGAGCGAGCGGCCCCGTTGAGGGAGTTTACAGATGAGAAGACACAGAAAGACAGAAGCACAATAACAACAAGTAGGCTATATTTAGGTGTTTGTTTGTAAATAACCGACGGTATCAAGAGGATGTCCCCTGGTTTGTCCCTTATACCCTAACTGCCATGAGACAACTCAAAATCAAGTTTTCAAAATCCGACACTGAGGTGGTCTTAACGCACCGGCAGATGACAGCGCTGACAAAGTGTGTTTCCCGCAGCGAGACGCTACAATAATTGTGGGTTTATCATGTTGATTCGGCCACAACAGAACAAACAAAAACAAACTCTCGCTCTCTCCAGAGGGGCAGGTCAGCCAAAAAGGCCAAACGGGCCGTTGCCCGGGCAACATTAGCCCGTACCTGTGCACGTCCCTGTCTGAGAGGAAATCTACATTTGAAACAACTCAAGGTCAGAAGAACTCTGAGAAGAGCAGAACAATCTGTGGGGTGACTTTATGGAACGGTTTGGAGCAGGAGTTCAAACAAAGCACACATATCATTCACTTTAAAGGATGCACAGAAACACTTCTTTGGAAAACTATGAGAGCTAGAAAATGCATTTCCTGCAGAAAATGCTTGTGAATGCTGTAAACTGTGAACATTTGTGGCTGAATTTAGCTGAACATGCAGAAAAATCTGAATATGTTATTAGCTGAATGGTAGCTGCTTTTAGCTACAGAGACCAAGCAAGTGTGTTGCTGAACTGATGATGATGACAAAATGATTTGAATCAAATTGTTACCGCTCAAATGCATTGCAATTACTTTGTTGAAAACTAGAAAGTGAAATGTTAAACTGGAAGAGTATGAAAAACAGTGAAGAAGCTTAATATTTAAAAGAAAAGGTTTAAAAAAAGGTATAACAACAACATGTATAGCCTCATTGTCCTGAAATAGCTGAATAAGTTAATAGTTGAATGGTTTGTAGCTGAAAGTAGGCTGAAGGAGTTACATATCAGATGTAAGTAGTAGTGAATGAATGTTTACAAACACCTGTGTGTGTAAGCCCAGAGATCAAAGGTTACCATGGTGACAACGTTATCAAACACATGTGTACGTGAGCCCAGAGATCAAAGGTTTCCATGGAGATGTGCAGTGAAAGGAGAGCCTTTCCATTGTTCTGAATGAGAAATAAACCTCTTGCATTTCTAACTTTTGTTGAAAAAATAATACAAACCTCCAGTCTGTCTGTGGGCGTGTCTGCTCTGATTAGGTGATGTCGATCTGCCCAGCAACACCATGGTTACCAACTGCAGCACTGAGTCCAATTAACCTGTTAAGCCTGAGAGACCCCGGTACCGGGGCCCTCCCGCAACATCTTGCAGGAAACAGTGTCTGAGGTTATGTTCATTTAATAAACTATGAATGTTTTATATCCATGTAACGGGAAGAAACTCTTTTTTTTTTTTTTTTTTTTAAAACCCCCACAATGCTAACGCTGAGTGTCTGAATTAGCAATGAGCGAAAAATGCTAACAGATTACTGCACCGAAACTCACTCATGAAACCTTATTATTTATCCTTTCTGCACATCCAACACATCGATTCACATCGTGAGATGACACAGAATCGAAGGGTACATACATTATCACTATATGATAAGAACTCGCGACTTTATAAACAAAAACAGACATCAAAACATGTGGCGCTAGGTAGCTAAAAACGCTAACATGGCTTACCTGTGTCGTAGTCTGGTCAAAAGTGGTCTTCAATGGCATTAAAACGATAAAAACGCTTCTGAAGTTAATCCATAGGTTCATCCAATGTGTCTGTGTCCCTTTGAAAGGATTTCTGATCATCCATAAGCAATAAACCTGCTTTCCCGTTTCCAGATGTCAGAGCGAGAGATCAATCAATCAATCAATCAATGTTTATTTATATAGCCCAATATCACAAATGTTACATTTGTCTCAGTGGACTTTACAGTTTGTACAAAATATCAGTATGACAATACGACACCCTCTGTCCTTAGACCCTCACATCGTACAAGGAAAAACTTCCGGAGAAAACCCACAGTTTAAAGGGAACATGGGAGAAACCTCAGGGAGAGCAACAGAGGAGGGATCCCTCTCCCAGGACGGACAGACGTGCAATAGATGCCGTGTGTAAATTGAAAAGATAATACATTTGCAACATAGGTAGTCCAAATGTTTGGAAATGCATGTGTGTATAATAGGAAGATGAATCCACGAGGATATCCATCCAGGACCTATGATCCAGGACCACAGCCACGACTCGCGATCCAGGGCTCGCGATCCAGGACAGAGGAGCGCAGGATCATCCATGACTCCGGATCCCGGCGTATATAGACACCAAAAAGAAAGACATTTGGGGAAGCTGGGTTAATCGGAACATGAGAGTACACAGGTATAGACAGAGAGAAGGAAGAAGTAAGATGTCCCCCGACAAACTAAGCCTATATCAGCAAAACTAGGGGCTGGATCTAATCAGCCCTAACTATAAGCTTTATCAAAAAGGAAGGTCTTAAGCGCACTCTTAAAAACGGATAGGGTGTCTGCCGCCCGAACACAAACTGGAAGCTGATTCCACAAATGTGGAGCTTGATAAGAAAAGGCTCTGGCTCCCATTGTACTTTTAGAGACT